TGCAAGGTAAGTGGCTTTAGAACCACGACTTCCGGATCTTCTTCAAATACCGCACTGTGGCAGAGGGTCTTCGGACGGTTACGTCGATCGGCGCTCTCAGTCTGTAGTAGACACCAAACTCCTGAACTCTAGTGACCATCTCGGCTGCGCATTCCATCAGGTGTTCGTTGGTCTCTTCTTCCCCACAAGCTGCACACGTGGAATCGTGAGTCAGCTTGTACCGCCTCCTGATGTGATTCAGCTTTAGACAATGTCCGGTCCTAAATCTCACTAGAGTCGTTCTATCTAGTCGAGTCATTTTCTTTTCGTCCTCCCAGTTGATGGGGGCCGCATACGTTCTCCGGCCGCGTTCATGTGTCATTTGTGGCCTGGGGGTCATCCGTCTGACTGCTATCATCGCTGCCGCAAAGGATTTCGGTCTAACGTCCGGTTCAGCCCTGGCCGATAATGCTTCAGCGTGTGCTTGTTCAAGCAACGCCTAACCAGGTCCAAGTTCGTCTGAAAAATCTCAGTAAAAACCTGAAACAAACGCGTACATGCTTTGACTAATAGAAAAATAGGACACAGGTAGATTACAGCTGGAGTATTCAGGGCCTTAGACATTGTGGTGGTGTTGGTTGTTGTTGTTGTTGTTGCAGGATCAATTGCAAGGTAAGTGGCTTTAGAACCACGACGTCAGGATCTTTTTCAGATACCTGATGGGTGGTGGTAGTGGCGGAGGGGGCGACAGGACACGCCATGTCAGCCACTGCGTCCAATTTCACCACCATTTTGATATAGAGGCTCGGGCAGTCGACTAGAAGGATACTCATACCGATGCTGGATGTATGATGCCAGACTTGGTAGTTTGAAACACGGTGGAAATTCGATCCTGCCAGGAGACTCTTAGGAGGCGTCGAGGACACCAACGGTCAAAGATTTTGGGCGATAGAATGTCTGCCTTTCACACTGACCACGTTCCGCAGGCATTTTCTAACACCGGTCGGATGGATGTCCTGTATATAAACAGCTTAGTACATAAGCTACTGTGTGAGCAAGGCCAGAGTGGGCTGGCTAGCAGCCTTACTGCATTTTGAGCCTGCGCGATTCGGTTTCTGATTTCTTCTTTGGCCTGTCCGTTGGCTAGTATATTATAGCACAAGTACTGGAAGCAGCTAACTCCTTCGACGGGTTGGTCACTGATAAACAGTGCCTGTGCTGTGCCAAGATGCGTAGTCAAGAATTTCATCTTGCAGCGAAGCTGGTGATTCGGTTTGGTCACGTCAGTCTAACTCTACAGATTGGTTGTGAACCCCTCTCGTAATGCAAACTGAAGATACCGAGATGGCTCAACACCGTCAAGTCGAAATTAAAGACCTCGTAACCGTTTTTGGCTTGTGACACTAGAACAAGCACTGGATTTGCATCTGCGAGGAGCTCGCTTCCGATCGTCGCCAATGGGCCGCGCTATCCGTGACATCCGTGAAGCCGCTTCATTCAACAACAGGAACTAATTGAATCAAGTACAAGTAAGTAATACTCATAGCGACAAGGGGATGTTGTTTTCGCGGGAAATCAGCACACTTCTGAGTGTACTCAATCACGACACGCTAAGAGTCAGGACTTAGGTTACCAATTTACTGCATATCGTTGTCCTTCTCAGGATTGAGAGCCAATTGCCGATGACTTGTCTCTGGGGGTTGAGTGGAGTGAGAAGTACCCTTGCCAGTTCCATACACGAAAAGAATGAGTAGTAGG